GAGCTGGTCAAAACTCGGCATTTCTGTTTCGGGGGTAATTTCGACACATCATCATTTGGTGTTGGCCCCGATTGGAACAAAAAAAATATTTTCAAAATATCCCATGAAATGGAAGTTTTGAAAAATGTTGGTTCTGGAACACTTTGAAATTTTGTTTTATTTTATTTTATTTTATTTCTTTTTTTGTTTGTTTGTTTAATATTTTTATTTTTCTATTATTTAATGACGTCTGTGGCATACACTACTACTGGTGTCGTAAAATGACATAATCATTTAATTATTCTATTGATTTTATTTTAAATATTTAATAACGGGTGCTTCAGTCTAGCAGAGAAAGGCATAATATAGTCCCATGGCTGGAAGTTGAAACTAGACAAATTCAGGCTGGAAAGAAGGTGTAAATTGTTTACAGTGAAGGTAATTAATCATAGGAGCAATTTACCCAAGGACGTGGTGGAGACTCCAGCACTGACAATTTTTAAATCAAGAGGGGATGTTTTTCTAAAGGCATTCTCTACGTTCTATGGTCTGTGTCACATAGTAGGTCAAACCAAGTGATCGTAATGGTTCCTTCTAGCCTTGGAATGGATTAATCTGTGCATTTTTAAAACAGTTAAGGGCAGCTGCTACTTAGCACTGATTGAAACATCTTCTCTTCTCTTCTAGGTCAAAATGTCTGTGGTTTGCATTGTAACTCCAGTGTCAAACTATTTCATTACAACACAAACAGGAGACATTTTGATCTAAAAGAAAAGTGAAGCTGTTTCAATCCATGCTAAGTGGCAGCTGCCCTTAAAGAGTTTTAAAATAAACTATATTAAAATAATATTTCTGCTAGGGCTGTCAAGCGATTAAAAAAATTAATTGCGATTAAAAAAATTTATATTGATTAATCTTGCTGTTAAACAACAATAGAATACCATTTCTTTAAATATTTTTGGATGTTTTCTACATTTTCAAATATATTGATTTCAATTACAACACAGAATACAAAGTGCACACTGCTCACTTTATATTTATTTTTGATTACAAATACTTGCACTGTAAAAAACAAATAAAATAGTATTTTTCAATTCACCCAATACAAGTACTGTAGTGCAATCTCTTTATCATGAAAGTTGAACTTAAAAATGTAGGATTATGTACAAAAAATAACTGCATTCAAAAATAAAACAATGTAAAACTTTAGAACCTACAAGTCCACTCAGTCCTATTTCTTGTTCAGCCAATCACTCAGACAAACAAGTTTGTTTACATTTGCAGGAGCTAATGCTGCCCGCTTCTTATTTACAATATCACCTGAAAGTGAGAACAGGTGTTCTCATGGCACTGTTGTAGCCGGCATCACTAGTTATTTACATGCCAGATGCGCTAAAGATTCATATGTCCCTTCATGCTTCATCCACCATTCCAGAGGACATGCGTCCATGCTGATGACGGGTTCTGACTGATAACAATCCAAAGCAGAGTGGACCGACGCATGTTCATTTTCATAATCTGAGTCAGATGCCACTAGCAGAAGGTTGATTTTCTTTTTTGGTGGTTCGGGTTCTGTAGTTTTTGCATCAGAATATTGCACTTTTAAGATTTCCGAAAGCATGTTCCACACCTTGTCCCTCTCAGATTTTGGAAGGCACTTCAGATTCTTAAACCTTGGGTTGAATGCTGTAGCTATCTTTAGAAATCTCACATGGTACCTTCTTTGCGTTTTGTCAAATCTGCAGTAAAAGTGTTCTTAAAATGAACAACATGTGCTGGGTCATCATCTGAGACTGCTATAACATGATATATGGCAGAATGCGGGTAAAACATAGCCAGAGACATACAGTTCTCCCCCAAGGAGTTCAGTCACTAATTTTATTAATGCATTATTTTTTTAACAAGCGTCATCAGCATGGAAGCCTGTCCTCTGGAACGGTGGCCGAAGCATGAAGGGGCATACGAATATTTATCATATCTGGCACATAAATGCTTTGTAATGCCAGCTACAAAAGTGCCATGTGAACGCCGGTTCTCACTTTCTGGTGACATTGTAAATAAGAAGCAGGCAGCAGTATCTCCCGTCAATGTAAACAAACTTTAGAGACTGGGAACGGTTGGGTCATTACACTAATTGAAATTTTTTTCCCCATGTTAAGTTCTCACACCTTCTATGGGTCATCTCGATTATCACTTCAAAGGGTTTTTTTCTTCTGCTGCTGATAGCTCATCTCAATCGATTGGCCTCTTACAGTTGGTATGCGTTCTTCCACCTTTTCATGTTCTCTGTATGTATAAATATCTTCTGTCTGTGTGTTCCATTCTATGCATCCGAAGAAGCTTATGCTGAAATAAATTTGTTAGTGCCACAAGTACTCCTGTTCTTTTTGCAGATACAGACTAACACGGCTGCTACTTTGAAACCTTTTTTGTCTGAGTGATTGGCTGAACAAGAAGTAGGATGAGTGGACTTGTAGGCTCTAAAGCAGGGGTTCTCAAACTGGGGTTTGGGACCTCTCAGGGGGTCACAAGGTTATTACATGGAGGGTTGTGAGCTGTCAACCTCCATCCCAAACCCCGCTTTGCCTCCAGCATTTAGAATGGTGTTAAATATATAAAAAAGTGTTCTTAATTTATAATGGGGGTCGCACTCAGAAGCTTCCTATGCGAAAGGGGTCACCAGATAAAAAGGTTTGAGAGCCACTGCTCTAAAGCAAGAGTGGCCAACCTGAGCCTGAGAAGGAGCCAGAATTTACCAATGTACATTGCCAAAGAGCCACAGTAATACATCAGCAGCCCCCCATCAGCTCCCCGCCATCCCCTGCCCACCAGCAGCCCCGCCGATCAGCACCTCCCCCTCCCTCCCCGCACCTCCCAATCCAGCTGTTTTGTGGTGTGCAGGAGGCGTCTGGGTGGGGGGAGGAACGAGGACACGGAAGGCTCAGGGAAGGGCGCGGGAAGGAGTGGAGTGGGGGCAGGGCCTGTGGCAGAGCCAGGGGTTGAGCAGTGAGCACCCCCTGGCACATTGGAAAGTTGGTGCCTGTAGCTCCAGCCCCAGAGTCGGTGCCTATACAAGGAGCCGCGTGTTAACTTCTGAAGAGCCGCATGTGGCTCCGGAGCCACAGGCTGGCCACCCCTGCTCTAAAGTTTTGCATTGTTTTGTTTTTGAATGCAATTATAGAACCAAAAAAATCTACATTTGTAAGTT